GCCAGCAAGCACCTACACCCAGGCCAATAATTCCGATGATTAACAAAATCTAGCACTAGAGGGAGGCTGAACACATGTTCTGCTCTCTTTGGCCTTTTCAGCTTCTCCAAACATTAAAAGGCAGGTGATTTAAGCAAGCCCAGCACCCACAGGCAGAACCCAGCCTCCGAACAGGAGACGTGCTATTTAAGGCAGCACCCCCAATTGGTAAAATTCATGCTCCCTCCTCCCCAGCTATCTGGCAATATGTGTACCCAAAATGAAGAAATAAATTTTGAAAAAACAATAACATAAAAAAAAAAAAAAAATTCCTCTGTTCCAGCTGTTTCTTCAGCCGGTGAGTCACAGCCCACAGAGGCACCACCGCTCGCGGGGAGCGGAGTCAGGCAGTGAAACACCTGGCAGCCTCCTCCGTAACAAGGATGAGGCTCTCGCTTCCCGCATCTATCAACCCATTCCCACCTTCTCCCAGGCGCAAGCACAGGTCTCCTCTGAGCAGCCTCGTGAAGGAAGGCACACACGCCTTCAGATGGTGTTTCAGATTTTCTCTTTCCAAAATTCTTTGGCATCAGGAATATGAGCCCTTTGGTTGATTTTCTGCATATCACAACAGGATGATGGGACCAGTGAGTTCAGTAGGTCTGAATGTCGGAATAGTTCCCTACCCGGGCAGTTGCAGCCCTGCAGACCCTCCAAGCATAGGTGGTTATAACAAGAACCGGAATAATAAACTATTTTATATTGCACTTCACGCAACTGTTCAAAGTCTGATTATTTCTACACTTTAACCCCCAACCTAAAACCGTTTCTTCACATCCTTTTTGATATAACCCAAATTCTTCCTGTGTTCAGCCACTGATGGTGTTTACTTATTAATTTGCAGTTCTTACAGTAGTGAAGCAGTGGGATGTAGCAGATAGAATTGCTCTGGGATGCAGGAGATCTTGGTCCTATTTTTAGCCTGCTACTGGTCAGCTTGGTGACCTAGGCAAAGCACTTTCCCTGTTCCAGCTTCCTTATCAGGAAGTGACTGGTATTTCTTTTGTAAAGTGTTTTGTGGCCTGTCAATAAAAACCACACAGATAACAGCCAAGGGTTGCTGGGAAAGAGGTGATCTCCGGCTGAACACAATCCCCTCCGTCCCACGTTGCAGCAGCATCTCAGATCCCAAATGAAAATCACACCCATTAGTGGATGCAGGTAATTAGTAGCAATTTTTAAATGGATGTTTTCCCAAGGTGGCCCTTGGCAAGCTGGCAGCTGAGGGTCATATCTGCTCTCTGCCACTCAGGTCCTGCCCGAACATGAAATGCTGGGCTCTGAACCTCTTCTTCAAGGAGAACTGGTCATTTCAAAGCCAGGGGAGACCTGAAGCCCCTGTAGCACCCATGACCCTCAAGACAGCCTTCATGAGGATGGGGCACAGGGACTGGCTTCCCACCCCACTGCACACAGTCCTCATCCCTAAGCAACCCTGTGTGGCAAGGAAGAAAGAAATTGCCAGTGCCATGAGCAAGGGTCCTCTCTGTGAGCAAACAGGGCAGTTGAGAGGTGGCTGATGAGAGTTTTTCACTTTTGCTTTCCCTGGCCTGGGCAGAATGCCTGTTTTGAATCTAGAAGGCAAAAACATAATAAAAATCTCCCTCCCTCCCAGATCTATCTATTTCCCTTCGACAAACAGTGATTTCATTTTTCTTCCCGTCCAGAATTTTTTTTTCTTTCTCTTTCAAACTGAGCCCAGGCCAACGTGGCAAAAGGCTCTTTGCTCATGTCCTTATTTGTCAAACACACCATCGCCGCGCCCTCACCACCATTCTGGGAACAAGTCCTCGCCTTCGCCGGCTGACTGCAGCTGAAGGGGAACTTCCCAACACAACTCTTCCCCAGCCCAAACACACTCTTTTTAAAATAAATATTTCCTTTTCTATTTTTTTTTAAGCATTCCAGTTAATAAGAAAAGAGTTCAAATTTCTTTCCCCTTTCCTCCCCAGCACTGCTGTGAATTTGAATATGATGGATCTAGATGGAAAAACAGAAATTACAAGAAAATACCAGATCTATCACAAAGGTATTTCATGACCCAGCCCTCCTCTGATTTCCATCAGAGCATAAGTGAGATACTAAAGTACCTTTTTGGATCTGATCCTAAGTGGTCAGTTCCACTGTCTAAATAGAGATCCAGAGATAAACAGGCCTATGAAAACTGGGCATTATTATTTTAACCGCTGCTTTTAAGCTACAACCTTAACTGCAATAATCTGTGCTACTTTCAGTCATTTGCTAAAAGTAACACACGGAATGATAATAAACTAAACACATATTCTGCTGCCCTCATCAACTTAACACTTAGCATGAAAAGCTTTAGCCTTATTTCATAAGCTGTCATCTGCACTGTGCCATTCAGGCAGAAATTTCTAAGGTAAAATGGCTGATTTGCTACAACAGATAAATTTCAAACTCTGGAGTAGATCTGGAGGGTCTCACCAGGTCCACAGGGGCCAAACTTCCCCAGGCAGCAGTTTCAGGCCTGGTCAATGGTCAGGAAGAGGGTCTGCTGCTCCACCACTTACATTTAGCAGTGGGGAAACTGAGGCATGGAAATGAAATGGTCTGGCATTGGAGAGCAAAATCAGCCTGTTGGAGCACAGTATATGCTCATGAGATCCTTGATTTCAGGCAACCACATCCTGAGGGCTAAGAACGGATTCCCAGCAGAAGGAACACAGTCACTACTCATTCTTCTCTTTTAGCACAAGAATGTCTGTCCAGAGTTGTGAAAATTACTGTTTTCACAAAGGCACTGAGTAGCTTTCTCCATCACCACCTGCCCTTTTCCTCCTCTCTTGGGCTTTACATCTTGCTTCAGCATAGCTTTAGCTGCTCTTGAAAGATAAGGAGTTGATCTTGCAACACAAAACCCTGCTGGTTCCTGACTTTAGCCCTGACTTTTGTCTGCTCCTGATCTACAGAGGATAGAAGGGAAAAGAAAGGGGAATAAGTGACAAGAGAGCACAGATTAAAGGCAGGGAGTCATGTTTGCTGCATAAGAGTACATCTGGGGTGGTGACAGGCAGGAGTGTTCAGGTACAACCCACCGGCTCACCTTCCTCCTAACAGGATATCATGCAAAGGAATCTTGCTCTAACCAAGCTTCTGCCAAAACCCAACACTGAACACAGCTCCAGCCCCAGCTTCCCAAAGCCAGAGAGAGAGGTGTGACACACAGCAATTTCATGAGTTAAGCAGGAAGAGCCATCCTGTTGGGTGGTTCTACCAAGGGGCACTTGCCCATGACAGCCTCGAGAAGGACAGGCACACTTTTGGACCCATGGCAGGAGGGAGGCATGTGGAGCTGAAGACAGAAGCTCCTCTTTGGGTACGTGGCAACAGGGAAGCCTGACCCTGAGCAATCCCATGAGGCACCTTGGCCCTTTCCCACTACCCAGGCTCCTGTGCAGGCAGCCGTGCAGGCAGTGCCCTGCCTTTGCCAGGAGCCTGCTGTTCCACGTCTTCCCAGGGTGCTCTGGAAGCTCCCCAGCTCCCACAGGGTCCACTCTTCTCAGAGAGATAAAAGACAGAACAACACTTGCTGGGGAATTACTTCATTCCCCCAAGGCTGGGAAAAGCCATGCTCCACACTTGGCGAATGTCCCTGACGGCTGCAGCCTTTCCTGGCAAGGGAGAACACAATCCACATTAACCCCTTCCTGCTTATAGGCTGCTTCCAACACCAAACCCACTGCAGGAACAGGCTGAGGCTTTGTGATAGCATCTGAACATCTCGCCACTAGCAAGAGATCCCAGCAAGCCCATGAGGGAGTGAAATGTTTTCTTTTTACTGAGGCACAAAATAGATGAATTGACTCAAGAGTTTGTGAGAGGGTCAGGAACTAAGTCAGGTCTCTTGAATCCTGTTTAATGTCTGCCTGTTGGCCTATTCTCAGGTTCAAACCCACCGAGAGACACAGGACAGCCACAATCTTCCAGGGCCATCAAGGGCAGCCACATGGCTGTCGGTATGTGGTTACACAACTCTCACCAGCCTCAAACCTAGACCATGCTCTCTTTGTTCTTACTGCTCCTCACAGAAGGTTCTTCCCGACCTTTGGAGCCTCAGTGCTTATAAAATTTCTAAACACCAGCATGAAGGTACTCGTGGCAAGCTCAATGTCTCTCCTGTTTCTTCACCAACACTCACACAGAGCTGAATTAGGGGCTTAAGCCCAAAATGTATTTCAAATTTGCAACCATACCCCTCCTCAGCCTTCCTTTTGCTCAGCTAACAAGCCAAACTCTTTCTAGTCTCCCCTGGCAAGATCAGCTCTTTACTCCTTGATCACCTCGACTGCCTGTCCCTGCAGCCTGAATGCATCTTTCTGGAACGTGCCTGAGCAAACACAACAGTAGCCAGCACTCCAGGCAAGCTTGCAAAGTCTGCACAAACGTGCTCATACCTTTCAAAGCTGTTCAGGGTATGTCCACATCCACTTTGGACATGCCATCATCACCTGATGCATCTTAGAAGCTGCAGATGGCAAAGCTAGAAGATCTAATCCAGCAAAGAGGGGGTGAAAAGGGTCTCAGTGACATCACTGAAGCCTGGGCCAGGGCTTATTTGCTTCACTTAATTTTAGGCACCGAAACAAAGCACTTTTAGGATCAGATTACTGCCCTGAAGTCTCTCCATAGTCCGTGGAAGGAGATGGCCATTCCAGAAAACAATTCATTCTGGGAAGGCTTCGCTCCCATCTACCATCACAAGGACACAAGGCAATTAGTCTTCTAATTCAAGCCGGATGGGAAAAATCCTTTAATAGCCCAGCAAGTTTTGAATGGAAATATTCCCTGCTTGAGAAACACAGCTTGCTAAAGTTGACTTGGTTATTCCTGACACATGATTTTTAACCACAGAACTTCACCACCTCATTTTATTAGCATTCATTCATTTCTACAATTTCTGGGTCAGCTCTGCATGAAGGATAAAATTCTTGTCTTCTTACCTGTACATTGTAAGTAACATCATCCAGAGGGGGTGGGGGAGGAAAGGCACCTTGTGGTGATGTGATATTCCCGAGGTCATCCACAGGAGGTGGCGGGGGAGGAAGAAAGTCCCCTAGAAGAGAGAATGGGAGAATTTAGGCTCACCAGCATTTCCCACACCATGGCATGGATGATTAGGATGAATCCTGCCCTACTCGCAGCTCTGCCGATTGGTTTCATGGCACAGGACAAAACACATTGTTTCACCATTAAATCTTCAGCTGCACCCTCCACGCCCCCCCGCCTCAGGAGATAGCTATGACAGCTCAGTAACACTGGCAGATTGCTCAGAGGCGCTCAGACTCCATAGTAAAAGGTGACATGCCACAAAGTCTAAAGGCACCAACAAGCAGCTCCACAGATCAAAGTCGCATTTCAAACCCACCACAGGCAACTACAAAACTTGCACAGTGAACTCCCCATTTCTAACCTTGCAATGGATCCCATCCAATTCACTCCCATTGTGTGCTATGCCAGCTCTTCTTGATCCCTATAAAGTGCTATCTAAAAGCAGGGACTCCCTGCTGCAGAGGACACACAGAGGGCTGGAGCAGGAACCCAAAATACAGAGCTGCCCAGCTCCTACACCCCTGCTGCCAGCAGGCAGCCACACTTTACAGCTCCCTTTTCCTATCAGAACCTCATAGCTTCATGTAAAGAACTTCTGGGAAGATCACAGGGTCTTCTCAGCGACAACAGCCACGTGACAGGCCAGTTGCAAGGACAGAAGCGTCCCCCACTTTTAACTTGGGAGGATTTTTACAAGGAGGCTGATGAACAAAATTTCTACACTTCCATTTGCTTATCTTAAACTTCCAGAAGAGCTGATGGGATGACAAAGCAGCATCCTGGCTATGAAGCCATTCAGCTTAGAAGAAATGCAAGATGGGAGCAGAGAGAAATTATCCTTGAGAAATTCATGTGACATGGGAGCGCAAAACAGAAAGAAAACATGGATAGAGCACACCACACTACCACGCTCTCAAAGCACCTCCTAAGGGTGGAGAAGGGGTGTTTGCCACTAATACTGGATTTGTCTCCTGGGAAAGCAGCTGCCTGCAATTTGGACCACTTTGGTATGTTTTTATTTCTCCTTATGAAGCTTGATGCTGCAAAGTAGAGTTGTTTGCAGTTGGCTCTCTTGTGTGCAGCACCTGGCATGGAAGTTTCAGATTAATAAAAGTGTGATATTTCACATCTATAGGAATTGTTGCTTTTGGAGGATTTTAACCCTTTTGGAAGGAAATACGAGCTCCCTGTCTGACCCTCCCTATCTCCATGCAGCATCACACTGCCTCCCAGCTAAAGGCCCTCAGCACCACCCCCAAATACCACTGAGCAGGCTCAGGTCAGAGAAGTGCTGAGCCAAACCCCTGTGACATGCAGTCCTCTGGGCCACTTGTGCCCCTGTTCAAAGCCTTGGGCTCAGTCCACTCCAGGCATGGGCACCAACTGGGCAGCACCACCAGCATGGCATCTCCATGCAACCTGCCATGGGAAACACAGGGGTCTGCAGCCCTGGAAAGTTTTTCTATTCTATTTCAAATCACTCTGTGAAAGACCCAAACTCTCCCTAGGACTTTCAGGGATGTTATTTCCCAGAAAGTCGTTTCTTCCCATTTTCCCCAAAGTGAGTATGAATGGGACTCAAAAAAACCCCCTCTGAATCCCCAAGAAAGTATCATCCTAAATACAGATGCTCAAAGACAGTTCAAAAACAACACACTGAAAACTAATTTAGGACAATCACATTGCTCCAATACATAAAATCCCATGAAACCTACTGGTTCATGCTATTATAGAGTTCAAGATTGATTTTTTTTTTAAATTATGTCCAATAACATCTGCAGTATCCTCGTCTATGCCCTGTAATTAATCCAATCTTTTATTTCAAATCATCTGAAATACAATACAGAGTAAAAAGAAAAGCAGAAAGATTTTGAAATTAATATCTAAGTGTTTAGTTTTAAAAAATGCTGGGATGTTTGAGTGCTAAGTAAACTTTTCTCCTTTGCTCTGAAAATGACCCTGCAACCAGCCAACACGATTTTGCGAATTAATTCAACTCCAGGGGACACATACTTTCCAAAAAATATGCTTCAGATAATGTTTCTCCAGTTAGACCTGGCTTCGATGCCAAAGACTGATCTCCCTGCACTGCACATTAGTCAGGTACTCTTGCTTTATTACAGTGCTTCAAAACATCTAAGAAAAATCAAGGTAGAGAATGTGTTGGAGGGGATGAGAGAGGGAAAAGGGCAGGTTTTGTGCATAAACAGAAGGTAAAAATAACAACTGCTATAACAGAAGAGGAAAACAATGACTGTTAAAACAAATACAAACCAAATAACATTTTGCCCCTTCGGAAGATCCATTTCTCCCGGAAGAAAAAACACACTAGTAAGATTTTTCAGGAACGTAGCAGAAAACTTTTTTTCTGTCTTTCAGAAAAGGACAGAAAAAGAGAAGAGTCCTCTCCTGGAGTTTAGAAGAAAACACTCTTCTTTGTGTGCCAGGAGGCAGCTGGCTTTACTGCATCCCAGACCAGCTCTTCAGACTATGTCCCATGTTAGATAAGCTGCTGGCTCCACTCACCCCACAAATGGGAAGGTTTTTAGACTGGGAAGCAGAGAGCAGATGCCTGATGAACTGGGGGGACCTTGCAGATGTTTGGCCTTTTCCTGGTCCTCTGCGAACAGATGGGCTTTTCTCCTTCACAGCTTTAGTTATTTATTCTGCCACTGCGCTTTCCTCTTTCCCACACACAGCCACAGGACCCGATGCTGTTCCCACTGCACTCACGGGAGAGTATTCCCTCAGATGCAGAAGGGAAAGCTGTTACTGTATTATTATTATTGGCATTGCTGGAAGTCTCCCTCGGGCAGAGAGGGAAGTATGCAAAGACTAAAATCTGTGTCCTGAGAAACCTACGATTCCAGATGACGTGTGGAAGAAATAGGCCTACATTTCAGGGAGTAAAAAAGGAGCTTACACTCCCTTTAAGCAGGGTGTCCCTAAAATGCTTTGCAAGCAGACAGATTTCACTTGCTTAGAGCTGGGCAAGGCATGGGAGAAGGCAGGAATGTCCATATTCAGAGGGAACACATCACTGCTACCCACTGCTGACCACCTTCAGCATCAGATAGTTTTGTGGGCAGCTGTCTGGGGAAGGGACCATTCCCTTCTGCATGGATTCAGCAAAAGCCACAGGGGAATGGGGCTCTGGGTTACCAGTTAACCATGGGCTGGTGGAGGGCACATCCCATCCTGAGCACTCACCCTCTCCTGCCTGACTTAATCCGGCTTTGAATAAGGGATAAGATGGGCAAAAGGCTCATTAGTATTGATTATTGTTCAGCACCAAGACTGGCATTTTGGTTGACTTTCACCTGCCGTCAATCTGAACACTTGGATGTACTTCAAGTTGTAAGAGTGACTGCACTGAGTTCTGTCAACAGAGACATCAAGGCACCTCCAGAAAGTACATCAAGGAGGTGAAGGGACTTACCTTCCGATGGCAAGCCTCCCCATGGAAGCAGCCTGGGGCAGGCATGTTTAGAGGCAGGGAATCACATCCTGCCCCTCCTCCCACTGCGACACAGCCTGACTTCAGCTCTTACAGTGAGAAATCTCTACCCATTACCATACATTTAGCAGAGAAAATAAACACTCCTTGATGCACCAGCTACTTGTTCCTTCTTCCTAACAGTTGTGAAGACCGTGAGTCAACCTATGAAGGGGCTGTGCACTGAGAGACTGAGCCAGTTTGGTTATTTCAGACACAACAGCGCAACGTGCCGTGAAACCGCAGCTCTGAGCTCTTCTCTCAGCACTCGTGCCTGCCTCTGTGCCGGGGCATCACCTGATGCAACCACGAGAGATGACACTGCCAGCCCTGGTAATGTTCCACTCTAAGCAATATAATGCTTGTATATTGTACATTCGAAGTAATTAGACAGAAATTAAGTGAGTCCATCATGGCTTTGCTGGGAAACTATAGCAGAGCCACAAGGAGAAGCAAAGCCTCCCAAGCCTCGGCCTGGCTTTTGGCTGTGATCTAATCTGTGCCACTGCAGATGCACTTGCAAGGTGTTACCCTTCTCTACCCCAAAATTTCCTTTTCCCAAGGAGATTTGGGCATTTCATTTTTACAATTTTAAGTATACAAATAAAAAACTGTTCAAAGCCTTAACAGACATCTACAGCAGCATAAGCTTGTCAGGCTGAATAGAAACTTGTAACATTTTTGCCACTGGCTGCATGATGCCTTCTGGGTCCAAGTACGAGTTGAGAAAAACATTCTGCCTCGTGCACCAAGAACCGTTCTCACTTCCAGTCTAACCTTTAAATTTTTAAGTGCACTTCAGCTTTTGCTGGATCAGGCTCCTGTCTCAAGTCTTTGTTTTCAGGAGATACATCTGCCAGTCAACAAATGAATTGCAGCACAGTGATTGTCTCTCCCCTTGACTGACACAGTTGTTTAGACACGAAGATTTGCAGCTTTGAAACTTCTAGATATGAAGAAGGTCTCACATGTTCAGTAAGAAGAGACTCTTTGGGGAACAAGATGAAGAAACAAAAAAGCAAACCACCATATTTTCTCTGAAACAATAAGTTACTGAAACCTATCAGCTAACAAAACTGGGTTCACACTAGTCTTCCCAAGGTCTCTGGCTGACATCTGAGGACTATATGCCCAGTTGTTTCTCATTTTTCACCTTCCAAGCAAAAATAACCCTTTCTCATTGTCATATTGATAATTTCTGCCTCTGAAGCTGATCTGGAATCAGTTTGAATCATCTGAAAAACACAGCTCAGCCCTGACTCAGAGACCAGACTAAGGATAGTGGCGGAGCAAATCCCCCTGATGTATTTCTATTTTGATCCACACGGACTCCATTTGGCAAAGTACTGAGAAGACACAGGCACTGCCCCGTCAAGTGTTTACCTTCTACTGCAGAAAGCCAAAGCTTGCAACTTGATGATCTACAGTGAAACAACTCTAATTCATTGAGGACTAGACCAAAATATGGTTGATTGAGGCTACTATGAACTTGTATTCCACAATAACCA